CGGATTTTTAGAAGCTTCCAGGAGACAACAGCTGATACAACACGAGGTTTTAAGGAGGCATCACGACTTCAGAGACACAGCTCATAGCTTGCCCGATGTCAGGGTGCTGTTCTGTGCTACAGACAGCAGCTCATACACATGGCCATGGGTCCATATCAGACATTTCAGTTGTTCTGCACAGAAACATTCCCTGGATGTTTCGGACTTTGCATCAGATCCTGACCCAGTAAGCCGTTCAAGAGACTGTTCTATTCCTCAGTATATGAGGTCAGAAAGCCCTGCATCTTCACAGCCCTCCAGCTGAGAAGTATAACGAAAAGAATGGCAAGCTTATCACCAAATTTCACTGCAAGTACTCCCCTTCTAATCACTCAAATGCTAGTGATGCTTGATTGAGCTATTTTTTAATCCATGTCTTGCTGTCTGCGGGTGCCCCTCATTTCCCCTTGCAAGGCTGGCAGATAATAAGCAAATAAGAGAGAATCCTCCAATTAAACTGATACTGAAAACAGGGCTTGACATAAACAGGAAGAAGGAATTGTGCCAGAAAATAATCTATTTCTTAATTTTTTCCATTAGGACACACCTCTCATCCTAGCCAATATTTATGCTACTCTAATTAAAGACTTCAGGATAGCAAGGGCTCAAGCTCCCCAGCCACCTCTCCTCATTCCACCTGTGGTTTTGTCCAGCTGCTGCCTCTGCCTGGACCCTATTTCCAAGCTGAGGGCCTGGAAGAAAGCCTAGTGCTTTCCTTCACATGTGCAGGTTGCTAAATTTGCTAAATCTTTTGCTAAATCTTCAAATTTTGGTGGATCTGCTAGCTCTTCTTCCCATCTGACAAAGTTATGGAAGAGATGCAGAATTTGAAACATGCATCCTATTGGATATCATTAGCAAAAAGCATGTATATAAAAATGTAAAAATATATAAAAATATATATAAGCATAAAATAAAGCATTTGCTAAATGCCTTAGTTTTGATATGCAGCAAGGCTTATGGCATGAAAATAGCTTCCAGGTATGGCTTCCCCTACATCTGCTTTTTTATAATAAAGAAAGATTCATATAAATGATGTTGGCTTTTTAATTTTTTTTTGCTTAAGAGCTACACTGCAGAAGAACATTTTGAAGAATTTCTCCATGTTGAGAACCACAGGGAGCAATTCTACACCAACAGTGTTTCACTTCACTAATATATCTTTTTACCTGATATATATCTTTTTATCTGATTAAAACCATGATCTCCCCATGTTTTTTTGTTTTTGTTTTTGTTTTTTAATAAACCATTGCTTTGCATTTTAGTAAAAACCAAATACTACAAAAAGGGACCAAATAGACTGAATATAATGTAGCGTGTACACAAGCTTATTTTCCTAAGAACTGCATCAATGTAAACTTTCTTCCCTAATGAAAAAATAAGTTCAAATGAAAATGTTAACATGCTGTTCTTTGTATCATTTAGAGAAAACCTTTTCTAAAAACAATGTCTTGCATGAGCTAGTGCCAGCCACCATCTATGAGAGCACCAGCTTCTTTCCAAGACATTATTTGGCTTGTGCCACAGCAACTTTTCTGTTGCATTTTCACCTTTTCACTTCAGTCTTCCATAGCCTATGTTGAGTTTTGGGTGCTTACATTAGGTGACTAACTTCTCTGTACCACTTACATGGTTAGGGGAGAGAAAAGAGTGCTCTGAAATACCAAGAGGAGCTCTGCTGACTATGTACATTGAGAAGCTAACATAAGGAACTAAATCAAGTGCTTGAACCTGTGATAGTGCTCGGGCCGCACTGGAGTTTGGAATGGTCCTGCAGCTGGCAAGTCTTCAAACTGCTAACAAATATTGGCATTTAGCTCAATTATCTATATGCAACATAATGAAGGGCTCATCCATAAGGTCAAGTATATATCCATGCAGGTACATGCTGTTCACTGCTATAGACCACACTGAGCATTTGTTTTAGTATTCCTGAACTAGTCCATGCTCAGATAGAGGAAACAAAATTTTCTTCACAATAATGATAAAAAGGAAGAAAAAGTTTGGTTCAACGTGTTTTCCATGCAGGGCAAAAGAACAGAGGAGAGAGGACAAGGAACTGAGGAATGACTCTCTCATTTTTGTTTCTAGAGAATTTTTCTCCCCTCCAGACATAGGGGAGATTGGTAGAAACTGGGACAAAGCTGCAGATTCAGTTAAACTTCCATTAAAAGTTCTGTGATGTGTCTAACATACAGCCAGACCTTTGTGACAGGTGCGTGTGGGCTGCATCACTCAGACAAGGCTGAGTACAGCTGTCCTCAGACTGGGCACAGGAGACAGAAAGCACCACAACCAGATGAATGTGCTCTAGCAAGTAGTCAAATTGTAATCTCCCTGTCGTGACTTAGTGCAATATTTTCAGCTACCTACTTCCAGCAGGATTCTTGGTTGGAGGTATCTAACAAAACCTGCAGGATTTCCTTCGTGCTGCATGTAGGGGCCCACATCTGTTGTGATGTGTAAGTAGCAGCAAGCACTGAGCTTTTTCAAAACTTAGGAAAGTTCATCACTGCAGATGAACTTCAAAACACTGCAACAGAGATCCTTCTGGTGCCCAAGTGAGAAAAACATTTTGCCCTTACAATTTTCAAAGGTATAATGCAATCTGTTTTATGAACAGAAGTATTTTTTAATCCTTTCTGCTATTAAGGGTGTCCTTCAATTGCATCTTTGTGGAATATGGAGATGATTTGCTACAATGTCCACCTCTTGAGAGAAGATAAAGCTCCAGGGTGGAATGTGGTGGATGACCCACGTTAGCTGCCTAATCAATGTGACCTGCGACCTCAGCTGTTAGCAAACACCAGGGGAGCTTGCTATGCTGACACTAAGAAAACAACAGAGCATGGAGTGAGAGCCCCATGGCTAAACCCATCCTGCAGGGCTGGGGACTTGATACTGTTGGGGCTGATGAACTACCCTGTTGTTGCCCCGAGCTGGCCCAGAGCCAGCAGTTTTCCACATTTCTGTCAAAAATACATTATGTTTTCTGAGTAAACTTTCCAAAACAAAGGTATGTTTGACTAGAATCACTAAAGCTCCACCTGAAACTAAGAAAACAGAATAAAAATGGCTTAAGAGAAAAAAAATGGGAGGGAAGATATAATTGCAAGACGGTGCTGACTTCTGGGATCATTCAACAGGCTGAGCCTCTCTTCCACTCCCACTGGAATGCCAATTCGATAAGATTTGAACACCCAGTTACACAAAGTGCTTCTCTGGGAAACTTAGAATCCTCTATAGAGCTGTTCCATGATTTAATGCAGTTGCAGTCAGCCATGTTATTCATGCTCTTGGTAAATCTCACATGCATTTATCACCAGCAATTCAAAAGAATCTCTAATCTCTTGCTTTAACAAACCACACTGTTGCCATGGGAGTTCTTGTTAGGCCCAGCCACATTTCTTAGGAGTGATTATGAGAGCTCGTTCAAATGCTGCTAGGTGAATTGGGCCGTGTGCTGTTGGTGAACCCATCATCATGGCAGTTCACATATTGAACACGACCAGATTTACACTGCCACATTGGACATCACTCAGAATCAAAGCTACGCCTAACCCGCCTAATATGAGGACAAGATGGAATGCGAGGGTGTTTATCTTCCACCAAACTTCTTTGCCCTTTTCAAACAACACTCCTTACTTAGGAAAGAACGCGCCATCCTACAACAAACAAAATCTTCTCTTTCAGAGGGATATTTTATTTAAATTTTGAACAGTGGCCAAATTGAAATCCTTTTTTCTTCTCTTTTGTTTTTTTCTCCCTGGAGTAATGGAAAAAAACTGCTAAATCCTCTGGATATGTACTTACACAATGCAGTAATTTCGGAATTCATATTATTGGCACATGAAGTGTCAGGTGGCGAACAGTTTTCACAAGCTAGAACATTCAACTATTACTTGTCACCAAAAGTAGTGTTCTTTCCATGACTGTCCAACACACCTTGAGATGTATAGCACATACTTCTGGGAAAACTTACATGTAAATAATGTGCAATATCACTGAGCTTACAGCTACGGAGAGGTGAAAGGAGGAGCGCTGTTGAACGCTCTCACTAACTACTACAGTGCAAAATTAAACATAAAAAGGATACATCTTCATGAAAATGGAAGAATATAAGAACCTATTACATGGCTGTTCACAGAATTCCTATTCTTCATAGAATTAAGGTTATTCGGTGGATTAGCAACAAAGAAAAATGTAAAAACAAACACACAAATGAAAACCCCAATAATAACAACATTTCAGTGACAGAAATAACACTCGATAAGCTTTAATGCACATTCTGGCCCTCCTTGATGATGCATGGCAGTTTAAAGAACTAAGCTGTGCAGGAAGATGCATACAGCAGCAGTGTTTTATGCATGCAGATCATCTCACAGGTCCCCTAGAAGTGGTTAGTGACAGTCAGACATTCCTGCAGCTCACTCATTAGTGTCTGCTGTGATGGCTGATTTGTGTCTTGATGACTCCAAATTAATTCATGGTCAAAAGCTGCAGCTTTCAGGAAATGCCTTGTGAAAGTGAGTGGTTGATGCATTCTGTGCTTTGCCTATGCATAAACACGTGCAACTGAAACGTTACAGTTGCCTGCTGCTCCCAGGACCTCCTTGCTAGGATCTTAAGACATTACCATGTCTTGAGTGAATTGTTGGGCAGGTCACATTAAACACAAAACTAAAACAACACTGATATCAGATGGCTACTTCAGTTTGGAAACAAAACAGAAACAAAACAGAAACAAAACAGGAACAAAAGGAAAGATCACTTCAAATGAAGCTTCGTTGGACATGTTATTGAAAAGATGCTCAAATTAGCTGAGCTGCTTCATTTTATCTTAAATACGGACCAGGGGCAGCTGCAACGAGCTCTGAGCTTTGGCACATTCCATTATGAATGACAGTGAATTTATAATGGAATGGTATGGATGGGGTTTATAATCAGAAAAACACACTGACCTTAACACTACACAGGTGGAGCAGCATAATGACCCGCCAATTGTAAGCGCATCAATTCCTGGGGAAAAGTTCAATGAGGTTAACTCAGCATGTATCCCATAACCAACATAAGCGACATTTAAAAACATTGTTTTTCTACCCAAACTGTCTTTGCCAACATTTTATTAATTGACTTGATTCGCTGTTCGGCACTGAGTTTATCTTAACCACAGCAACAGCATACAATATTATCCTTCAATACACCAGGATGTTGTCATGCACTTCAACACCGAAATATACACGGTTAAAAAATCAGAAGAGGATTAGCTACAGTAAATTTTGCAGACAGAATCAGTCGTTATATTCATTTAACTCAATAAGCATCTGAAAGAGAGCAAGAAGCAGCAGCCTGGGTATAACAAACAACACCATCAGTGCATTTTCAGCTTCCTCGTAAAATCTGCATGTTGAGGGAGCTTAGATAGGTGGCAGTCAACTCGTATTTCTGTTTCCCGTCGATTCATTGATATTCTTGTATATCTGCAAAGGAAGTTAATTTCTATGTGACGTACTTAGCAGACACAGGATCCAACATAATTTTAGTAGTTCAAGATCAGACCACAGAACAGCAAGTGAACCTCTACTTCTCTCATTAACCTCAATTAGCACTTCAAAACCTCCCATTGTACCAAACTGTACAGCAAGAAGTGATGGAATAAGGAAACTTTAGTCTGAATCAGGGAAGCTAATCAGCAAGGACAGAAGGCTTTAGAAGCATGCAATAATACAAATTTTCAATACAAAAAAAAAATGCAAAAGTAGTCCACAATTCATCTCCAGGAGCATTTACAGTCTGTATTTTCAGTTAATTCTCTCTGCTTATCTTCTGTGACTGAGTACTCTGACATTTTACAGCTTAGTAGCTGCACTAGTAGAGAAAGCTCCTCAGCAACAAGATGGTCAAATACTCCCATTTCAGGGAACCAAAGAACCACATAGAAAAGACCTTCAAGATCACTAGCTCCAACCATCAACTTGACCTGCCAAGTCCCATCACAAACCATGTCCCTTAATGCCATGCCCACGTCTCTTAAATACCTGCAGGGATGCGAACTCCACCACTGCCCTGGGCAGCCCATCCCACCACCATACCCAGGGCAGAAACTCCCAATGTCCATTTAAACCTCCCCTGATACAAGCTGAGCATTGCCTTATCACGTATCACACGAGAAAAAAGACTAGCACTCTATCACCCCACTCTAAAATTCATTCTCACCAACTGTTTCCAATGTGTACTCAACAACAGCTGTGAAGACAGAAAAACAGTCTTACAACAACACGATCAAAACCACTAAGACTGTTAATTCAACAAAAGCATGAAAATGAACAAGACGATGAAAAGAGAAAGGAAAGGCAGGATACGTTCGAAAACATTCCGTTCAAAAGGTATTTCAAAATACCTCACAGACAAGAAATTAAACAAAGTAAAAGTGCATGTTGCATTTTCACCCCCCTTTACTCTTCAAAAGACACTAAATCACATGGACATAATCCATTTTATTTCCATACTTACAACCTACAATTTGGTCACTTCTTTAGTTTAATGAAAAAGTGTATTTACGTTGGATACAAGGGCTCCTCTGAAAGCAATGGCTTCTGTTTTTTTATATTGGCCCCTTATGTCAGAGGCGGATGCTGGTGGCACGGCAGTAGGGGGTTGAACCCTCCCATCAATACTGTTACTCATTTTGTTGCTGTGTGACAGATGGCAGCAGAGGGGCAGTCTGACAAAACAGCATCTGACACTGAAGTGTCTGCGAAACAAAGGCATATCACTGAATTCATCGACGCGGAAAAAAAATTACACCCATTGATTTTCATGGACATTTGCTGAATGTTTATGGAGACCAAAAGGAGCGAGGTAGTGGGCGGTGCATTTCAGCAGTGGTGACATCAACAGCGGATCACCTCCACTGTTGCAGATTCTTACAAGCTCATTATGAAGGCTCTTGCTCAACATTAGCAAAAATACAGAGCTAATGGTGGTGATGATGTGGAAAAAGTTATCTCAGCCAGGATAAAAACACTGGAGGAACAGATTGTGAAGAAGAGAAGAGAAGAAGAGAAGAAGAGCTGTGCTGTGTGAGCGGCAGGACTACGTGCAGCCTGAGCAACCATTCATTTCCTGGCTGAGAACAATGCAGATCTTCAACAAAGCCACTGCTGCATCCTGAGAGTAAGGAGTTTCTTCTGAGCTCTCTAAACAAGACAAGAGTAAAGTGACAAGTAGAAAGGAGAGTGCCCTAGGCAGCAGCTTTCCTAACCTATTTCTTCTGGGAACCCTGGAGAGTTCAAGCTCACTTGGTCAGCATTTACTTCCTCTCTCATCATTTCTGTTTTTATCTCACCCACCCCTTCCAACACCTTCTCCTTCATCACCCATCATTAAACATTAAGGTTTCTTGTTTGCTATCCAGCTCATACAGGCCCAGCTGTGCCTCAACACCATGCTCTCCCTCCCAGGTTTATCTCCTTTGTCTTTCCTTTTAGAGTATCTCCTTTATTCCTCCTCCACTTCTCATTTCCTTCTGCCTTGTCCCTTTCCGCACAGAAGCTGTTTCCAGCTCCTGCAGCTGATGTTTGACCCTCACCCCTGCCTCTTGAGCTGTATCAGAGCAGCTTCTGGATGCTCTGCTCATCATCCAAGCTTATTAGCATTTTCTTAATACAAACCAAGCCCTGTGTGAAGTGGTCCTTAAGCTTACATCTCCCTGTGCTACTTGGCATCTTCAAATGCCTACTCAAAACCATATTTTGGGGGGAAATGAAACTATAAACTCCTGATCATGGTGAAGTTGACATGCAACCAACTAATATCAGTATTTATTTTATATATGTGCACAACTACCTATACACAATTGTATTTCCACGGTATCCTTGTCCCTTTTATCCTCTGATTTTATTTTCAGTATATTTCTATGTTGGTTGCACTTAGCCTCTGAACTGCTTTGTGCCTTGGGGCAGCCAGTGCAGTAATTAGCACAGGCAATCTGCAAGCACAGTATGTTGTACTGGTTAACAATAATGCAGTCTGTACAGGAAAACCCATCCATGGCCAAAAAATTATTTCACCAGCAGTCAACACTTAGTTGTTAGAGTCAGGGACTGCTTGTGCTCAGCTCCCTGTGGGCTCGATACCTCTTGCACTGGGCTGATCTGGCACTGCAGACAGAAACTCAAGCACTGAAACACCACAGTCATGTTACCAGCAATATTAACAACTGTATTAACAATAACAAAAAAAAGTAGATATGCTTTCTTTTTCCCATACAGATATAGATACGCTCTTCTGTTTCTCCGTTACTTCATTTACACCAGCCCCCAGCATCAGTTCCAATATGTCATTAATTAACAGTTGCTGCTGCATGCTTTAAGCATAGTCTTTCCCTTGAAGGGATCAGAATGACAGTTAAGAGATCAGAGTGAGTTTTTCAAACTTCCTCAGGTAGATGGATATTTGAAAGGTTTTTCTATAAAGATCAAACAAGAAAAAGAAGTGGTACTTATGCTGGAAGTGTTTGTTCCTTCTGTCTCAACAAGTAAAAGCATGTAAAAAAAAAAACCTCGTAGTTTTCAATTTCACTAACCATTCTTGCTATCTGAAGCCACTAGTTTCACTCCTCTAGCTACAGCAGGAAATACATAAAATCCCTTAGAATAAATGCTCAGTCCTGTGACTGCAAGTCAAATCTTAACAAATTATCATGCATAAATTAGCTAGCTGTCTCACAAACCAGTACAAAAATCAGCCATTTTCAGTAGACCAAAAAAAAAAAAAAAAAAAAAAAAATAAGTAAAAAAATTAGGAAAAAGAATTAATACACTAATTGAGGATTTAAATTGCATGGAGAGATCGGTCTCACCTCAGTGCTGGGGAAGGTTATGGAACGGATAATCTCAGGACCCGTCATGGACCAATTAAAGGTCAACCAGGGGATCAGGCCCAGTCAGCATGGACTTATGAAAGGTAGATCCTATTTGACAAACCTTGTTTCGTCCTATGACAAGGTGCCCCGCTTAGTGGATGAAGGCACGGCTGTCGATGTGGTCTAGCTGGACTTCAGTAAAGTACCGCTGTTCCCCACAGCATCCTTGTGGGGAAGCTGGCGGCCCATGGTTTGGATGGGCGTACGCTGTGCTGGGTGAAACACTGGCTGGATGGCCGGGCCCAAAGAGTTGTGGTCAGTGGAGTTAAATCCAGTTGGCTGCCAGTCACAAGCAGTGTCCCCTGGGGCTCGGTACTGGAGCTGCTTCTATTTAACATCTTTATAAACCATCTTGATGAGGGATTGAGTGCACCCTCAGTGAGTTTGCAGCCAACACCAAGCTGGGAGGGAGTGTTGATCTGCCAGAGGGGAGAAAGGCACTGCAGAGGAACCTGGATAGACTGCATTGATGGGCCGAGGCTACTGTATGGGTTTCAGTAGGGCCAAGTGTCAGGTCCTGCCTTTTGGTCACAACAACCCCAGGCAACCCTGCAGGCTTGGGGAGGAGTGGCTGGAAAGCTGCCTGATGGAAAGGGACCTTGGTGTAGTGATGGACAGTGGGCTGAACATGAGCCAGCAGTGTGCCCAGGTGGCCAAGAAGGCCAATGGCATCCTGGCTTGGATCAGGAATGGTGAGCAGGACCAGGGAAGTCATCCTGCCCTGCACTCAGCACTGGTGAGGCCTCACCTCGAGTGCTGTGCTCAGTTTTGGGCTCCTCAGTACAGAAAGGACATGGAGGTGCTGGAGCAGGTGCAAAGAAGGGCAAAAGGGCAACAAGACTAGTGAAGGGCTTGGAGAAGATGCCCTATGAGGAGAGACTGAAGGAACTGGGGCTGTTTAGTCTGGGGAAGAGGAGGTTGAGGGGAGACCTTACTGCTCTCTTCAAATGTCTGAAAGGTGATTGCAGCAGAGCAGGGTTGGCCTCTTCTCACTGGTGACAGGACAAAGGGAAATGGCCTCAAGTTGCACCAGGGTAAGTTTAGGTTGGAAAACAGGAAAAACTTCTTTACAGAAGGGTTGTGAAGCACTGGA